CACAATAAAAACTCATTAAATAAATCAGTTCTTCCTAAGAGAAAGTAAGTGTGCCAATTAAGCAAAAACCCTGTTACAGGGAAGAACTGCCAGCAGCACAAGTTATTTTAGCTGACATTACTTCAGAAAAAGCCCACCATTCACCATCTGTTCTGGCACAAATTTTGAATGCTAAGAAAGTTTCCAACATCACTGAGGAAAAGAAAGCAGTCAAGTCGCAGAAGTTTTTGTTTTGCTGTTAAAAAGAACAAGCATCTAGGACAACTCACATTTCAGCAAGAACAAACACAAAACAGAAATTTTGCACATTTCATAAAAATCATTACAGAGGATTAGAATAAGGCAGAGTGCAAGTGGAAGACATGTAGGGACTATAACACAAAACAACTAAAAGCTTCTTACAAATTTTACATGAGAAGCAGGTAGGCACCTCCAGACAGTGGGTCACTGTTTACACTCCAGGTAATAAGCATACGTCTACAAAGGTTTTTTCCAGTTGCTAACACGATCAAAACTTTTGGAAGCTAATGGCTCCATCAACCTTTTAATAAGAGAACACTATTCATCAAAACCTGTTTCATTCAGACAATGAAAATAAGGGACAATGTATGAAAAGGAAGCCAAAGGAATCAAGGCAATACAGAGAGAACAAAAGTCGGGGTAGATAGTATTACCAATAATATTAAACACTCAAATGAACCACCACAGTAGGATAAACAATCTCTTCTAACATGCAACTCATAACCAAAGTGGAAACTAGAGCAAAAATAAGAAGATATGAAAAAGTGATAAAGAACCAAGATAAAGTAAAACACATGATTCATCCATCTCATGGCAATATTTATAAATTCAGAAGGAGTAAGAAATTCTTAATGCCTTTCTACAAACCATCGGTGAGATCTCACTTAGAAGAATCCATGAAATTTTACTTCTCCATGCTCAAAAAAAAAAAGATTAATTCTAACTGGAATAGCTAGAGAAGGAAAACTCACTTGGGAATTGAAAGCTTATTTCGCAGTATGACTTGTTTAGCCAAGCAAAACAAGAAGTTTTAAAAGAATGACTGATTATAAATATATTAATGGAAACAAACACCATAGAAGAAACAGGAGCTACCAGAGTCAAGGAGAACAGCATAAAAACGAACCTTTCAAATTTCACCATTCGTCTGGAAATCAGAGGTCTGAAGTTTGAAGACAGCATCTAACAAAAAGCTACCTAACACTTCAATTCTTCTGAAATGTTTGATGAGTTCACAAAAATGGATAGCAATACGATGAGGACAGCAGATGACATCATGTAGGTAGCATGCAATTCCAATGCTATCCTCCATATTCCTATGATTTAGCCAATGAGTATAATGTACTTTTTCATTGAAACTCTAGGGGAAAAACATTACTTTCCCATTTCCTCCCTAGTTTTGTCTAGCATAAAAAATAGGAACAAACCACAAAAAAACCTGAGTAAAAACATAATATGAAATTTGCTAACTAGTAGAAGATAAAGTATTCTATACAAACCAGAAATCTGAAGACTGTGGGTTAGAAATAGGTGGTACACCACTGTGACAAAGTTTAGACAAAACAGATTAACATTTCTGTGTCACATAATAACAGATTTATTTCCCCGCCATCTTAAAAAAAATCAGTATGTTATCACAATTTATGAATGAGCTAAACATTCGGGCATCTTTTCAATAATCTGGAAAAATAAGGCTCAAAAAATCCCTTACAAGTTTTTCTTAGAAAAACACCAAATGACAGATGGAATTTTAATATTTCGCATGACATCAGATGATGCTTGATATACAGTCATGCAATACTTCTTAAATACTTATTTCAAAAAACTCTAGTTTATGTTAGAAAAAGATCTACTAGCAATTATCCAATAACCGCAGTGTCTGTCACTGAGGTTTGGGTAGCCACAGTGCTCATCACCAGGGCTGGAGGGGTCATGGTGCCTGTCGCCAAGGTCTGGGTGGCCGCAATGCTTGTCACCGGGGCTGGAGGAGCCACAGCGCCCATTGCCAAGGTTTGTGTGACCACAGTGCTCATCATTTTGTTGTTAGGTCCAGAGACCTTCTCTTCCCCTTGAGGGTACTGAGTGGTGTCGAACAGGGCTCGATAGGCATGGGCCAGGCCCCAGCAGGTTGCAGTGATTTGTATCTCTCTGGAGCTGCCGGGGTGACAGCATACCTTTTCCAAATATTTCACTAGTTCTTCTGGATTCTGCACTTGTTCAGGGGTGCATTTCCAAAACACTGGAGGTGCCCACTTTTCTAGGTGCTTGCCCATACGACCTCACACACCCTGCCACTCATAATTATCCAGCCTCAGGGCAGATCTCTGGGTGATCTGATTAAACAGTTGTTTAACCTTAAACGAGAGCTGAACCACATTCAGGACCATGCTAATTCCTAGCAGTAGGGCTAGGACCGTGCTGGTCTCAACATCCCAAGAGTATTCAAATTTTTCAAAATTCTCAAACTCCATTGTAGTTGGACTGAAGGAGAAAGGAGAGGGGAAGAAAGGTACCCCACCCATAGACTGGTTTTCCAAGGAGGAAAGGTAAATGGTATAATTATTAATAGTTTCCCACAGATGGCTTCCGCAGTATAAAGGTGACAATGCTGAGTGCAAATACCGGATTAATCCCACAGCCGATGACTTTATCATACCATAAACCAGTGTTATACAATACATCAAAGCGAAAACCTTAATCCACCTCCCACGGATGATAAGCAGCAGAAGAGGAACCACGTACAGCAAGCGAGGTGATACATAACAGAACTTTAAAAACCAGAGCAACTACTCTAAGAACACATAAATCAACATAATGACCAGCGACTATTAGACCAATATAATGAATGCTTATAACAAATTTATTTTAACAAGCTCTAGTCAGGTTTGTCATTATCTCAACCCTTCGTGCCCCACGTTGGGCGCCAAAATGGACTGTTGTGGTTTAACTCCAGCCAGCAACTAAGCACCACGCAGCCGCTCACTCACTTCCCCCCCATCCAGTGGGATGGGGGAGAAAATCGGGAAAAGAAGTAAAACTCATGGGTTGAGATAAGAACAGTTTAATACAACAGAAAAGAAGAAAGTAATAACGATAACACTAATGAAATGACAACAGCAATAATAAAAGGATTGGAATTTACAAATGATGCGCAGGGCAATTGCGACCGACACCCAGCTAGTCCCCAAGTGGCAATCCCCCGCCCCCAGCCCCCAGTTCCTATATTACATGGGACGTCACATGGTATGGAATACCCCGTTGTCCAGTTTGGGTCAGCTGCCCTGGCTGTGTCCTGTGCCAACTTCTTGTGCCCCTCCAGCTTTCTCGCTGGCTGGGCATGAGAAGCTGAAAAAGCCTTGACTCTAGTCTAAACACTACTTAGCAACAACTGAAACCATCAGTGTTATCAACATTCTTCACATACTGAACTTAAAACATAGCACTGTCCCAGCTACTAGCAAGACAGTTAACTCTATCCCAGCTGAAACCAGGACACAGTTATATTTTCTTTCTTAATGCAAGAAATCAGAAAGGACAGTTTAATAACTACCTCAAAATTCGAGGTAGTATACTGAATACATGAGCAAGGATTCCTAGAATTAAAAACTTTATCTCTTTAATGAACTTAAAAAAATATGTAATTTTTAGAGTTACTGCGCATCCCTTCACTTTTACAGTTTTTATACTGACACACGTAAAACACCTCAACATTTCTACTTTACTTTAATCTTCCCTTTTTTTTTTCCCCCGTCCTTTTTTTCTTTTTCCTCCCCACAGGGCAATTAAGACAAAGCTTATTTACTAAGTCATTTCAAGTCACTACCACTTGAAACAGATAAATTATACCATAGAAACCTGGGTTTAGTATAACAACACTACTGCTTGATCCCTCATAAAGCAGGCCTAAATTCATGCAAGGTTCAAGAACAAATCTTTGGACATAATGGGTTATTTTCTTCCTTCACCTAATCAATTCCTGAATTAATCTAGAAACAGCACTGTTTAGCACTAAGTAGATTCATTCTTTAAAATATTCTACCTGTCTTTTTTTTTTTTTTTTTTTTTTTTTTTTTAAGTATTTGAAGTCCAGAGAAGATTGGGAATGAAAGACTTGGGCAAGAACTTTCATCAAACAAGAAAAAGCTCTGAACGTTATTAAGAAATTTACATTTAAGATACTATTTTATGTTCAAATTAGGAGTGCAAAGTGGAAGTAGTACATGGATTTAAGAGAGTGTTTAGTGCTGTCTATTCATCAGATTTATATAGGTATGCAGATGGCAAAAACCTTGATGAGGGCTCTACGTTAGTTTTGTAGCATCTGTCCTACTTACCAGCAGATCAAAACAGCATTTGTTTGACAGCATTCAACCCACTTCCACAAAAGCAGAGAAACATTGGCCAGAAAAAGGAAATCTGTTTGAGGGTCTCTCTCTCATCTGCATACATAGCAATTCCCACTGACAGAATTATAAAGTCATACAAAAGAAGCTCATCTCACTATGAGCTTCAACAGTTATGCAGAGGTCAAATTCTTCCACCACTGAACAAGTTTATGATTATTAAATGCAGAGTAGTAAACAGAGCAATACTCCAAAACCTTAGTTTTATTACTTCAGTTCTGAGAGTATAGTTTTATCACTTATGATTATGAAAGATGTCCTTCACAGACATACGTAAGGCTAGCAAAAATCTGGGTATCTTAGTAGACTCAAGCACAAAAAGGCTGCACCTCCACAAGAACAACCTGCCAGCAAAGCCTCCCCAGCACACCTTTTTACTGCAGACAAATCCCTTAAGGAAAGATCTCTAAAATGTGCAGACCAAATCAAAACATTTTTATCTTTTCACAGAGAAGAATTTTCATCAATTCTGTTAGTCAACCAAAGTGACCTTCTAGAGCCTAGGCCAGGCTGACATATATATATGTACAGTATCATTTCTAGAAAACATATTTAAAGAAAAGGCTTTTAGCTTACCGTTACAGACTTCAGAGTCATTCCATGATAGGTGCCCATGGTATCAATTTTAAAGCCTTCCGTTTCTGCAATGGACAAAAGGCTCTTGTAAATCATTATGGACAGAAGGATGTCATGTCTAAATAGACAACGCTGGAAATACCTTTGAAATTATTTTTGCAAAGAACGCATCTTGCTATTGGTAGTGGTTTAGGTTCTGTTCACAATACAAAGCCTGGTTAGTAATTAGGAAATCTGTATTTTCTTTAGACAGATGTTCATTTGGTATTTCTGATTTCTGTAACCAGAGTAGGCTTTTCCTGCTGTACGGAATCATTCAAACCACTCCAGAGAAAGGATATAAATTTAAATCTTTGTGATAATACGTTACAACATGCAGGTAGTCTCAGAAATTCTCTTCACTACAATATGGAGAGGTGCCTCATATTCCCAGAGTGCATTATAACGCAACATATTCAACTTGTATTAATGGAAAAATACACGTAATAAGAAATGCTGACTATAAAACCTTGGCCACTTAACAAGATAAATTCACTTCTGGAGTGCAGAAGAGCAACAATGTCATTGTCATATGATACAGGGAATAGAATCTGCATAAATTCACACTACCAGAGTAAAGGTGATAAAAAGGGCTGGTTTGGGTTTGGTTGGTTGGGGTTTTTTTTTAGTGGTTTTAATCAGACTGAATTCATGCTGAGTAAGTGCCAGAAGCCTGCAAGTGCTCAGCAATTAAACCTGCTTCCACTAGCCTATTTGCTTTTGAATACTCCTTCTCTGTCGTCCTATTCTCAGCTGTCTAAGACCAAAGTCAGCTCCTGAATACTGCCACCAGGATTTGCAAGAAAACCTTTTTCCTTTTGTATATTCCCTAGCCTCATACATCTACGGTCAACTGACCCCATCAACCAACCACCCAATTAATTCATACTTAAAATGGCATGATAATCAGCAGTTAAACCATGATAAGTAAGCATTTGTCTACACCTAAGCAACTTTCAGGCTATTTCAGCTAGACTTGGTTAAAGGTAACTGATACTGTACAGAAACAGCTCTTTGGAATTGGAAGATTTTTGCCATTTATTACACCACCTTCATATAGTGCATCAGCACAAAAACTTAATAGACCAAAAATAATGCAGAATCAAAGTAATGCTCACACCTGAACCTACAAAAACTCCAAGAAAAATATTATATTTTCAAGACTGTTAAAGCTTCTTACTCTTATCATAAGTAAATTAACTTAAATTGAAACCCAGACAACCTTGAAAACAATGCAGATGCTCTGGGAAGCATCTGTGGTTGCTCATCCTTTCTTCCTTAGATGCGGAAGATTATCAGACACTTGTAGGAAATGAGGCAGAAAAGTATCCCAGATTTAATAACTCTCCAGTGCCTGGAAAAGATACACAAGAGTTGAAAACTGATCATACTACTCTCACCAGAGAGATAGGTAGCTACTTTCTGAACACCGTTTTTGGCTTTACTTTTCCCCCCTTGTCCCCTTGATTATGCTACCACACCTACCATCAACTACCAAGTGGAGAGGCCTAGTGTTACTGACCACGTTTTGTTTTACACAAAGCCACCTCAGTTCCAGCCCTTCTTCATCTTGGCTTCTCAAGGCCATCCCTCTCCTTCTGCTGGACTGAGCATTTCTGAACTACACGGAGTTGATTCTGAGAATGCAAAATGCAGGTACATGAATGGAGACTCGGTTTGGTCTTGGAAGAGACGTGAATGCAGTCTTTTCTACTAAAAGAAGAAAAAGAAGCCTAGCTTCCCTTTATAAATTGATACTGCCATACCACCTTTCCCCCCAACCCAAAGATGTAATCATGCATTAGTCAGCTCAGGGTTCATACAGCTGAACTCAAGTTAAAGATGGTAAAGTTGCATCCAACCAACACTTCCATGGATAACAGTTTTTGCTGTGACTATATAGGTCACTGTTTCTGGGCAAGGTGCATATTAATTTTTCAGGTGGTGCCTGGAGCCTTGCAGAATACTTGATAGAGATCGCCTAAATTGAAGACATGCTTTTGCTGACCTGAAGTGACATAAATCAGAGACATATAATCTAGGCTGACAGTTGTTTGCGATTTTCAGAAGGTTACCAACAGAGGAACCTTTCCCCTTCCCAGACTGACCTATTATGGGTTCCTCTTGCCTATGACATGGAGAATTTCCAAGTACTTCAACCAGATGTTCCTCCCAAACTCCAAAGAATACAGATACCCCTTAACAAGGCCAGCAAAGCAACACCCCCCATTGTACCTGGCCTGCCAAGGTTTCTTTCCTCCCAGCACAAATCATGGTTCTAGAATTAGTTCTACGTGTTACATGTTTGTTCCCCATTTCATTTCTTTCTTTCCACTGGACTCTTTTTCTACTTTTTCCTCTAGTAAAACTTTGCATTCCTTCTCAATTAATTAAAAAACCCTAAACCAAGTCTCCATCAGCATTGCAAATGGAATAAAGGCCCACAGAGCTAGCAGCACAGTTAGAAAGTAAATCAAAGGGGAGAGAGGCACCTGGCAGGGAAAAAGCCTCTGCTTAACCACCAGTGGTTTCATCTTTTGCAAAAATCTCCCCAAGTCTCAAAATCTGTCCTGGTTCATTTAATAAGCCACAAAAGCCTCTAACCAGAGCTCTGGCTCTTACCAGCTTCCTGCTCCCAGCCTTGTGCTGACCCTTCCTCCAAGCAGGAGGAGCAAACAAGTAGGATCCTAAAAAGCCACCTGTTGCCTCAAGCATTAGAGTGGGCACTCTTGCCTGCTGAACATCTTCAGCAGCTACTTAGGCCTTCCAATGCTATTTAACAGCTACTCAGGTAGTAAATAAAACAGTTCCGGTAATCTCTAAATAATGGCATAGTACTTTTCCTTATGAATGTAAATCTAAGAGATGCTAAATAGTCAAAGTAGAACATAGGTACCCACTTACATTCCTGCAAACAGTTACTGCAGCCACTACAAGGTCTACTGCAGACCCCGGGAGCTGCTACCTGCTGGTAGGGTGGGACAAGTAGAAGAAACCACTTCCAAAACTGCCCACCAGCTCTCAAATTTCCTGCCTCAAACTGTCAAGCAACCAGTGAATGACAGTTAAGCATTGCCAGCTTCCAGATAACTGCAGCAACCCTCCTGTAACTGGTAACTGCACGGACACTCTTTTCTCAGAATATAGCTTTTTTGACCTGATCCTCTCACATTTCCCATGTGATACTCTACCAGTCAGCCACTCACTTTTCTTACAGAAATAAACACTGCTACAAGCGAGAGCCCTGCCACTTGCACTTTTGTGCCTTTTTATAAGGTCTCAACAGTTTGTACACTTGGCCACATACAGCAGTACCTTCAGCTCCTCCCACTGTATACAGGCTGTGCAAAGCAGAAAACAAATGCTTCCAAGTCGGGGACTCCACAGTTGTAGCCACATTCCCACTTCAAAAATTGCTGAGGGTGTTAGCCAGGTTAATGCAGCTGGTTGTAAAAGACATTCAAGGACCAGGCTAGAAAGCAGAGATGCACTTCTCTCAGAGCATTCTCTGAGGGCAGTGGCTGACCCTGAGACAGCTGCTCAAAAGCAGACCTGGGATACAAGAGGAACCACAGGCCACAGTAAAGAGAAGCAGAATACAGAGCAACCTGGAGCACCAGGGGACATGCTCCCAGCATACATCAGCATAAATGCTGTACCATACCCTCTGACTAAACATGCAAAAGCAATATGTTTCTCCCCTCCCTCCCAAACCAGCTCGAACCTGTGCTGCTGAGTCATGCACCAGCACAGAGATAAATATTGATGCCTGGTCAAGATACAGTTTGCAACTCCAGTTTCAAAATCACAGCTTCACTGATGATAATAGAGGAAGCAGTTAAAATTACAAGCCATCTACTAAGAAAAGGGCGTTTAAGAAGAAAAGAGCCCTTTAAATAAAAGTATGGTGATGGCAAGACTTTGGACCCTTATTTTTAAACTTGGAATTAGATGCAGAACAACTGTTAAAAAAACCACCACTTGCTTGAGTCTTCGATATACCAGGATTTTTCAATAAAATTAAACAAAGTTATCATACACGTTTCCCTTGGGCAAAAAGCAGTCCATATTAAATACTTTAAACACAGGTCTAACATTAAGTAAAGAATGCAAGCAAAGTCCAACATTAATGTATTGCAATGAACTGTATTGCAACTTTTTCTGTTTTCCAAATATAATCAGTTTTATAAACATATAAGCTTTGTTAAAAAACACAGACATCAACAAACACCTTAAAAACTACTTCTTGAGAGACTAAACGCAATACCTAGTACTGAATAACCAATTCTAATGCTTCAGAAACATAAAATACCATCCAGTTAACATTAAGACTATCTTTTCTTCTCCATTCATTGCACGTCTTACAATCACGATTTCACACTGCAATGACCCAAAGACTGTCAAAAGAATCATACACTTTTCCAGTGTGGTTCATAACTAGTTACCTTTCTAGCATCACCATGAATCAGAGTGCCCTCTCTCATTTAAAAGAATTAAGACCTGGAAATGAAAATACGCACCCTAACGCATCAGCTTATTGGACTGATTATATTCTCCATCACCATTTGGGCATATGCTCCATTTCCTTGCATATAAATATTAATGTTCAAATTGCCTTCCATTTGCTTAAAGCCCACTGCCCTACATCCGTTTAGGTCACTCTGCATTTTGATTCTGCACCTGCTGCAGTTCTAGCCATCCAATCCAGGTGCAAACTTGAGCACTGATACATTACCAAAAGAATAATAGCTTTAAAAAGACTCAAATTAACCTGAATTTCTGGAAGGAATTCCAGGCAAACAAAAACAGAACAAAGGAGCATGTCTCTGAAACACTGAAGAGCTCAAGTTAAAGACTTCCTTTGAATTGTGGATGAATAAGATTGAATAACCACTTCTTTTTTCAGCTGTATACTCTTCAAACCCCAGATAGCAACAGCTCTGCAGACAGCCTGGAAATGATTCACTATCCCACTTCACACCCATGGTAATTAAATCACTGACACCAAATTTCATTCTACATTTAC